CCCTTTTATTGGCTCAGATTCAGACTGGTGCAGTAGATGGGCCCAGATGGGTCCCATTTCCAGTGGATCCCTTGCTGATCCTACTTTCCCAAAGCCCTCTTCTGGGGTCTTATGCCAGTAACTATTGGCAGTAGCTTCCTAACCCCTCACAATTTGGGTGGGTACCTCAGGCCTCAAATGCCTGAAAGGCTGCCGCCTCTACAGACCCTCTTCAGTGTTGACATTAGTAGAGGGCCTGCCTGGTAATTCCACCGCCCTCAGAAGCTAAGGATTGTTGGCCTGGGAAAGAGCATTCTTTGGGCATCCCCTAAGTTGTGGAGATCCCCAGAGAGTTCACTAGTTTTCATCATATGCTGAAGACACACCTCTTTTCCCTGGATTTTGACACTTGAGATGTATATTTTGAAGACAACCTCCCCATTATTATGATTGTAATTTGTAATTTGTTTTGGATTGGGGTTCCTTTTTGCTCTATTTTAAATGGTCGCAAACCACCCGGGAACCTTAGGGTGAACAGCAGGTAACAAATCAATTTAATAATAATAATGGTGGCAGAGCCTATTGAAGCCGAGGGACTACCTCTGCCTGTTCCTCACTTCCTCTTGGAGCACAGATTGGGGGTTAAGATTGCACTCTAATACTTCAATGATGCCATCGGCTTTTGTGGAACTACAACAGCTTGTGCCACCGTAGATTAAGGACATAAAAGCCCTGCTGCATCAGGCCAAAGGCACATCTAGTGAAGTATCCTGTTGTCAGTGGCCCACCAGATGCCGATAGGAAGCCCATACCATAAGCAGGACCTGGGTTCTTCCCACTTCATTTCCCAGCAACTGATACATTCTCTGCCTATCCCCCCACCCCTGGCAGTCCTCTTTGAGATGCCACAAGACTCTTAGGCCATGGCTGCTTGGAAATCTCCATATTGTCCTCGTTGCAGAAGCTCACAAGACAGTAGAGAGATGAAGCTGCAGCACTTCCATCATAGCCGATGCTCTGCAGCTCTGTTGGCTGCTTTTCTCTAAGGTCCCGAATGAAAAGTGCAGGGATCAAAATGCTCAGCAAGTTACTCCAACTTATTTCTGGAGGCAAAATAAAACATGCTGTGTTTCTTTCTCTCCCCCGCCCCACCCCAAATCTTCAGGTAAAAGTCGGTGATACACTGGACCTGATAGTTGGAGAGGACAAAGAAACAGAAACTGCTGTAGTTATGAGAGTTGTCTTAAAGAAGGCATCCGACAAAGTCAACGATGAAAAATACAGAGTGGTGTTAAGGCGCTGGAGGAACTTAAAGGTGCCCAAGCAGGATGTATTTAAGTGAACTAGGATTTGCATGTGGCAGAGGTTTCCTTGTGAACAACTGTTGGTTATACAATATATGAATTTTGGTTAAACAAAATTCCTGCATTCTTTTTTTAAAGAAAATAATATTTAAATGGGTATGCGATGGCATGAGGCCACCTTCCTTACTGTGAACATCACTTTGCCTGTGACTTTTTAGTTTACTGCTTTTGTTCCATACTGAGGGAGAAAGCAATGTTTCTATGAAAAGATAGAACAAAGGAATAAAAGGGAAGGCTAATTTTAAATATTCTCTGCTTTTGTTTAAATGACATGACCCGGAAGCCCAAAACTAAACAACTTGAGTGGGAAGAAAGCCTGGCTTTTCTTTACTCATTGTGTGGTGTGATAACAGTAGCCAGTCAGTTCAGGAACCTGGTTTTTCTTTTTCTTTTTTAAATAACCCCAGCCTGGTAGATTAACAATACAGCTTTCCATTTCCATGTGTAATCACTGAGCTGTGGTGCTGATGGTTTATGGTTGCTTTCCTTTTACATATTGTCTGGTGGTATCTTTTGTGAAATGTATTTTAGTATGCTGGCTGCTATGTTTACTAGAGCAGAGTTCCCTTACTCATAGGGGACATGGGCAAGTTCAGGTAGGCCTTGTGCTTCCATGGAATGATTTGTCTCAGGAACTCCAGCGTATATAGGGATTGGCTTAGCAGTGCACTGTGTTATAAAGCCATAGTCATGTATACTGCACATGAAAGCCCCATGCTTGTTCCAGTGAGAGTATGGACATCTTAAACATGTAGATTGCTCCATCACTTCAACCCGAGTGGTGGTTCTGGATGCAGAGCGCCCTACAAACAGAGTGATCTCCTCTGCATACGTATACCAAAGTCTACATGCACACTGGAACACAGATGAGTCCCTGGATCAGACAGCAGAGGTCTACAATTTTTAACAGGCATTAGCTTTGTATCACAAAGTACAGAGCTTCTGTTTACAGGCAACTTATTGTGTCCCATGCATTAATTTGGACATGCAGCTTAGTAAAACACCTGTAGAATTCAGTTTGTTTCCATAGCCACTGTAGATTATGGGCTCATCCACACTTACCTTTTGCCCACGCTTTCTAAGCACAGGTTCGCACTTTAAAGCAGTTTCCTAGCAATTATTTTTTATTTATTTTTTGGCCGCAGCACTTTCCCCATGAAAAACTGCTCTTTAATGCTGAATTGGAATGAATGGTAATTTGGGTTAGCTGCGGATTGCTGTTTGCTCTGATTCAACAGTAAAGAGTGTGTCTCTGCGTGGAAAGCGCTTGGGAAAAGAAAAAGTGCTCAGAAGCAGTGCTTTAAAGTGTGGACCTGTGCCTAGAAATGTGGCACAAAAGTAATTCTTGATGAGCCCTTAACAACCAAATGAGGAAGTGCTAGAGGATAAAGAGAAAATCATGTGAAAATATAATGGTCGCCTTATCTCCAACCCTCACGTGATATAGGAAATCAAAGCACATGATGCCACTTTAAAGGTAAGTATTGTATGTCACCCTAAAAATGCTTTCCCCCCCCGCCCAACACTGTTATTTTTGTTAATACAGAATTGTGGCTGCCTTCAAATGTCATTTGTTGCCATGTGAATAAGAAATCCTAGTGTTAAAACTAGCTTAATAAAGTCCTTCAGAATATATGAAACGGTGTAAATGCATTCTTTGTGTCCTTTAAAGATTTGTAAGGACTAGTAAGTTCTTGGTTTTCAAAATGATTATGATGAACATAGTGAAATAATTATAGGACTGTATCCATTGGTTGTATAAAGAGAAAGTAGACCTGTTCTATCTGTTACTCAAAATATTTTCTAAACAGGGACAAGTGCACAAATCTATAGCTTTTGGGAGCGCATTCCAAGGCCACAGGAAAAAGAGGGAGGTCTGCCAAAAGTGGGTATGATGGGGGCTAATTTGGATCCACCAGGGCCAGAATATAGAGAGAAGTATAACAGCCAAGGGGGCCAATCTGGGACCAACAGGAGGAAAAAACCAAACCCAATTTAGACAAAAGAAGGGAGGGAAAACAGCACCTGTACAGCTTTGGTGCTGCTAGGTTTGGCTGTCTCCCTACCCCAATAACCCTGTAAGATTTCAGAGATACACTGTTTTTAATAAAAATATAGTGTATATACTTTTAAGTTAAGAAATAACTACATTTTTCTAACAACATGCTGTTTTCATGGTTCTTTTGTAAGCCTTCCCTAACCTAGCACCCTTCATGTTTTGGATGACAACTCCTATCACCCTTTATCATGCTGGCTGGGACTTGCAGAAATTGTAGTCCGAAACACTGGAAGAGCACCAGATTATGGAAGGCTGCTTTATGTTGTCCAAAGAAGTTGGCATTATTGGATAGCACAACTAAATAACACCCAAATCCTTCAGTTTGCTAAATATGTATTATTATACAGTGGTGCCTCGCAAGACGAAATTAATCCGTTCCGCGAGTCTCTTCGTCTTGCAGATTTTTCATCTTGCGAAGCACGGCTATTAGCGGCTATTAACGGCTTAGCGGCTTATAACGGCTTAGCGGCTTTAAGAAAAAGGAAACAAACTCGCAAGAACTCGCAAGACGTTTTGTCTTGCGAAGTAAGCCCATAGGGAAATTCGTCTTGCAGAACGACTCAAAAAATGGAAAACCCTTTCGTCTAGCGAGTTTTTCGTCTTGCGAGGCATTCGTCTTGCGGGGCACCACTGTACAGAGAAATATAGACATATCAGTTTGCCTTGGGTAAAAGGTTGACTTGACTCTAATTAGGACACAGGCAGTATATTCATGGAATCTAGTTGTGTTATTTTGGGATGTTGCTAACTCCTAAAAAAAAAAAGACTATTGTCTACTAGTAAACTGTCTCAACAGGGCCTGGCCAGTTCTTGGCGTTAAAAGAAATAAAGAAAAAGGGTTTGTAATTGTGGGAGAAATATATTCTTAAAAGCTGCTTTAATGTATCAAATTTAATTCGGTTGCTACAATATAATTTTTTTTTGGATATATAACAATCTAAATAATCGCACAAGAGTATCAAATGAATGTGCTAAACCAGAAATAACTGGTATTAAATGATCATTGTCACTGCATCAGACAAACATCTGAGTCCAGAGCTCATTGCATAACCAATGTGCACATGGAGCTATTATGTATGCAGTCTGCCCTATTCAAGGAGACAGCAGATCCACAGACAGGGATTAGTTGAACTAAATGCTGGAAAGCTCCATGAGCATTTTAGAAATCCAGTGGGTTTCATCCAGAGGAAGTCAGCCATGGTTTAGTCCCATTTATTCAAGCAAATGGGACTAAAGTGCAGTTAACTTCATCTGGATCCAAGCTGCCCAGTGCCTCTAAATAAAAAAACCCTGATGATTTTATTTATCCCTGTTACAACTGCCAAAGAAAGAGGAAAACAAAGCCTTGGTGTGATGTAGCCCTCTGGTGTTTGGGCATACTGAATGGAAGCATACAATCCATTAGTGCTTACCTAAACTCCAGTAAATTCAAAAACAAAGAGGTTTCAAGTTAATTATTAGTTACAATGATTAAGGAAAAGTTCACAGTCTCCAGGATATTGAAATCCTCTGGGTGACACTGTACTTGAAGTTATAAATATAAAATCAACATACAATGAAGAGGGCCCTTGCTATATAGAAGTCCAAATAATCAAATATATAGATACATATAATATTTAATATTTTGAACTTTTCAAAGGCTGCAATCATTTTGCTAACAAAAATAATATGGGCTTAAATGTTTTTGTACATTCCTCAATTCAAGTATTTTTTAAATATAAGTAGTGAGAATAACAGGTAATAGCACCATATTCTACTGATACAGGGCAAGAGTCTAGTTCACAACCTATGCTTATACCAGTAGCTTTTATACCAAGAAGTCACACTGAGGACAATGGAATAACTTAGATGACTAACAACTGAAGTATTGGTACTACGATCTTAACACATGTTAAATAATGCCATGATCATAATCTTAACTTTTACAACCATTCAGCAACAAAATGGGAAACCTTTAAAGAAAATTGTAACTTTTCTGTTCATTGATTTTGTAGTACTTCACTCTCCCAATGTTCAAACTAATACAAGGAGTAGCTGTAATTAGTACAGAGACTGTCTTGATTCTCTACTCTTTTCAAAGAGTATGGCACTTTGAAACTGTTTTAAAGAGCACGAGACTACTCACTGCTAAAAAATCAATTAAAAAATTTAAAACTATATAATTTATTTTCACTGATGATTATATTTAAATGAGATGCTACTGGAACATCTGTAATAATTTATGATTATTTGCTGTGTACCAATTCAGGTAGGTAGCAAGCAAGGGCACTATCAGAAACCTAGCCTACATACAGGCATCCTGAAATGGAGTTACATCTTTTCCCACAATATGCATTCATTTCAATAGGTTCTTCTAAGTGACATTCCCACTGGATTGTCCTACACCCCTTTTCCCCATCCTCACTGGATTGCCCTTTCCCGTACGTGTTAGAGCAACATTTTCTTATCAGTTGCCCTAATGCTGAGTGAATATTCTGAGTATTAGTCTAAAGCAGGCTGTCTCAGTCTGCTTCTAAATAACTTAGTGGTCAACATCTTTGGAAACTAAAAAGATCACTTTTTTGCTTTCTTGGCTTTTTTCAGTATATCACACTTTTTTCTATTGGGACGTCTGCATCTTTCATCAATGCTTGGTATACATTCATAATGCCACACTTCATCCATTTTCTCAACAGGATAAACAGCTTCAACATAATGACGGATTAGTCTCAGTCTGACAGGATCGAGCTGCTTTTTGTTACAAGCCCCTGAATGGTTGTATTGCAGTCTGAGGTTATCTGAAGTAAACAGCTCTGGAAAAAGTCTTACAAGAAGTCTGGCAGCAAAGTTACCAACTGAAAGGCTCTGCTGTACTATTTCTCTTACTTCCTTGTCAGACAGCAGATACAGAGAAGGCACAGGAAAGTCTGGAGGAGGAACAACAAGTTCCTCAAGTGGTATCTTGCAGAAATCTTTGTTGCTTCTTTCCGGAGGCAATGGCGGTCCTTCAAATTCTTCTTTAAATCTTTCCGGGTTTATTGCATAGGTCAAAAATTCTCTCCTTTCAGGTCCTGGCACATGGACCTTTCGCTGCAGTTGGTATGTGCGTCTTTGCTCTGTATCTCTTCGACGACATCTTTCATCGAGTTTTCCAACAAATTCCAATGTCCATACTCGATCATTCTTCGCTCTCGGATATAGCATTTGCACATAATGTCGAATTAATTTAATCCTAACAGGATCAAGTTGTTTCTTACCCAGTGATCCACTACAGTTATATTGCTTCCTTAAGTTTTCATGGGTAAACAGTTCAGGGAATAAATGAACTAGCAATCGAGAAGCAAAATTGCCGATTGACAAACTGCTCTCATATATGTTCTTAAGCTGCTCCTTGCTTAACAGGTAGTCTGGAATAGGGACATCAAAATCAGGAGAAGGGATATCAAGCTTATCAAAGTCTATAGGCACAAGCCAAATCTTTTTTGACCTTCTGCCTGGCCTTTCATATTCAAAATTATCTTCCACTTTTATAATAGACACATCATCAGGCAAACTAGAAGAATCATAGCAATCCTCTCTCATCTGCTCACTCTCACTGTCATCCATATACATGCTTTCAAGTTCATCATTTATTCGCTGGACACAATGCTGCAACCAGGCCTTTCTCTCCTGCATAGCAGGAAAATAAATCTCTGTGTACCTGCGAATTACCTGAAGTCGCTGCGGGTCAAGCTCTTGTTTTCCACATTCTCCATAACAACTATATCTCTCAGCCAACTTTCTGTGATCAAAGAGTTCTGGAAACAATCTATGTAATAAAAAGACACAAAACTCTCCAGGAGAGGAAGCTTCATCTAAAAATTCATTTATATCCTGAGCATCAAATACCCATTCAGAGGCAATGGAACTACTCCTGTCCATGGGCAGAGCTTCATCCTCCTCCTTATCATCAATAACTTGATCAGTCTCATAAAAACTGGAGGACTGTATGTCTGGCTGACTATTTTCCATGTCTCTCTGTGCCCAAAAGCTACTGAAAAAGTCATTGACCTGAGGCAAACACTCTGCCTGCCAAACTGCAGGATTCTTCACAGAAGGATAGCAGACTTCTACATAATTTCGGATGAGCTGTAGATGAAGGGACTCAAGTTTCTTTTTGTTAAGATAGCCACAGGTACTGCAGGTCCTGCTTAACTCATCCTCACTGAAGAGCTCTGGAAAAAGCTGTACCAGTAGTCGGCAAGCCAAATCTCCACCTGATGTACTCTGATCCATGATCTGTTTGAGTTCTGAGGCAGTCAGCTGGTACTCAGGTGGTGGCCTGAATTCTGCTACAGCATCTGTGGGGCTGACATGCTTTTTAATTCGACTGACTTCTAGTGATAACAAGTCTACTTTGCTGTGAAGCTGAGTCATGTTGGAATTTAAGGTATTAAGTGTGTAAAACATTTTTTGTATCAAAGAATATATATTTGGGTCGGACTCAGAAGCAACAGGTGTGATAGCACTCATATCTCTTTTACGTTGCTCATTCAATGTCCGAAGATTGGAAGGACTGCTAGGATTAACCTTTTCAAACAACTCATAGGAAGTGAACTGCTCTGTTCCTGGCAGACTTTTCTTCTCTGTAATTTTGTGTGAGATCCCATACAGAGGTTTCTTATATGATGGCATGATTGTGTTATTTAAGGCTTCTTCTTCACCGAGCCACGTTATGCTAGGATTCTTGCTCTTGTTTAGCTGTTCCACATCTTCCTGAGTAGGTGATCCATCTCTGTGCATCAAGTTTGAAAGAAGGCCCTTTCAACGAACAAATGTAACATTAGTATTCAAATTAGTTACTTATTTATCCTTAATGAATAAATTATAAAACATGATTTTCTTAATTTTAAACACTAAATTAATTTAACACAATGCTGCCATAGGGTTGGATTCAGACTATGTTAGCTGCTTCCACCTACACTATGGGTTGGAAAGGGGATGGAGGAGTTGGAGGGTATGAGAAATTTTCCCTGTGTATTTATTACGATCTAAACTTTCATGTCTAGGAGCTGCCTAAAATACTCAAATTAATAGCCTTTCCTTAACATCAGAGTTCTGAGAATATTGCAGCTCATATATGCATAAGAATCGCCTACATCAAACTCACTGACCTGGATTCCAAGTTTGTTCCTGTCAACAGGAGGGAGAGTCATCTTTCGCTGATTCCTCATTCCCTCTGTAGACTCTTATGCTCCGTGTCTGGACCAGTGGAAGACTGCAGGGGGAGTGTGAAATCAGGGGAACTGACTACCCCTTCTGCCAAAGAGATCCTCCACTACATTTAAAACCTTCAATCTGTGAAAGGCATAGTTAAGATCCAAGCAACAGTACTGTATTCAACTAACAACACCCAGACTGAAAACCTTGTGATGCCCAGATTGAGAACCTTTCACAGCCTACTCACTTTCCACTAGGCACATTTGAAGGAAGAAAACTGTTGTAAGAGAATGTGTGTGCTAAATGATGTACAATATTTTCTGATAATGCAAATGGTAAAAGGTAGAGGGAACCCTGACCATTAGGTCCAGTCGCGGACGACTCTGGGGTTGCGGCGCTCATCTCGCTTTGTTGGCCGAGGGAGCCGGCATACAGCTTCCGGGTCATGTGACCAGCATGACTAAGCCGCTTCTGGCTAACCAGAGCAGTGCCCGGAAACGCCGTTTACTTTCCCTCCGGAGTGGTACCTATTTATCTACTTGCACTTTGGCGTGCTTTCATCATCATCAACCTTTTATTCGACCGTCAGTCAGAAAAAAAGTACATTTGTCAATACACAGTTAAAACATCCAGGAAGATTTTAGAACTTAGCCAACACTAAAATGGGCTAAACAGATAGCCCCATAAGGCGTGCTTTCAAACTGCTAGGTTGGCAGGAGCAGGGACCAAGCAACGAGAGCTCACCCCATCACGGGGATTCAAATCGCTGACCTTCTGATTGGCAAGTCCTAGGCTCTGTGGTTTAACCCACAGTGCCACCCGTGTCTTCCATTTCCATGCAAATGGAAGCAATGCCAAAAGAGCTGTAGCCTATAAAGTGTTGACATTTGGAAGAGATCACAAAATATTTCAGGCACTATTTTATACCAGCAGTTCACATTATTTGGGTGTCTTCATTAATTCACTATAAGATGGATATTTTGCAAACATACAGTGGTGCCTCGCAAGACGAAATTAATTCGTTCCACAACTTTTTTCTTCTTGCGAGTTTTTCGTCTTGCGAAGCACGGTTTCCCATAGGAATGCATTGAAAATCAATCAATGCATTCCTATGGAAACCGCCTTCAGACCAGGTCCGGGGACAATCTGTCCCCCGACCTCTTCTGAAGGCTGGGGGGGGGGGGGGGACAAGGGCTTTTCTTCCCACCGCCAACCTTCAGAAGGCTGTTCTGAAGGCTGGCGGTGGGAAGAAAAGCCCTTCTCCCCACCTCCCGCCCCGCAAGCTCCGGGGACAGGAGGGCTTTGCTGCCGCCCGCCAGCATTTTAAAAGCCCCCGGGACAGCGGAGACTTCGCTGCCGCCTGCCAGCATTTTAAGATCGCCCGGGACAGCGGAGAAGTCTCCGCTGTCCCGGGGGCTTTTAAAATGCTGGGGGTCTCCAGGACCTCTTCTGAAGGCCGGCAGTGGGCAAAAGTCTTTGCTCCCGACCGCCAGCATTTTAAAAGAGGTCCCCGGAGATTTCCCTATGGGCTTTCTTCTTGCGAAGCAAGCCCATAGGGAAATTCGTCTTGCGGAACGACTCAAAAACGGAAAACTCTTTCGTCTTGCGAGTTTTTCGTTTTGCGAGGCGTTCGTCTTGCGAGGCACCACTGTACTTTGCTTTGCAGCAGCAACAGCAACATAAATTTCAATACTAGAATTAAAAAATGAAAGAATTTAGACTTAGGTAAAATATACATATTCAAATACTATCAAGGCAAATAGGCAAGAATTGACTACTCCATCTTAAAAACATGAAAGACCTCAGCTTTGAGTTATGATCTCACTTTGTAAGCCACCTTGTGAGGGCTTGGCCCTAAAAAGCAAAACAGAAATAACTTAAACCCTAAGCATGCCATCTACGGAATAGAATTGTTTTTTTAGTTCACAGGTTTCTGGTGTAAGGGGGGCCAATCCCCCCCCGTAGGCTCCCTGCCACACTGTTCTAGAAGGCTTTCCAACTCTCCAGAGCAATTCTTGGGGAACAGAAGGGGCTACAAGCAGGGGGAATCAGTGAAAGTACAAAATATCACCTAGGAAACAGCTCAGAAATAGCTGTTTGGGTTCTGGCTTAACCTTGCTTCACTGAAGTGCAAATGTTTATGTAGACTATTTTAGATGAAATCCAGACAAGAAACCATATTCATCAGTAGCAAGAAAAACTATGAAATTGGTTGCAACATCTTAAATAACTAGTTTAGTAAGTCATGAGTTTTTACATGCAATGTCAAATTCACCATTTCCTCAGCTGAATTCACACATCTATTGAATTTTGCTCTTTAAAAAACAGCCACCACCTTGTTCCTCAGAAAATCTATTGATCTCTAGGATGCATGTTTTCTCTTTGTTTGTTTTTGGCTAAATAGTGTCGTCTTTGCTTTGTTGCAGCCTACAATTTCCATAAATTAAAACACCCAAATGAGTATTTAATATTTTGGAACAAATATTAACTGGTTTGACTAAATTCATTGAACTGCTTGTCAATCTGAAATAGTTAACTGTTAATATCCATATGTAAAGGAATCACCTCTTGTGTAAGGCCTCTTTTTTTCAGACTTGGTAGAATTTCTTGGTGGCTTCCTGAGCTATCACAACCAAACAAGGTCCGTTTCCGTTTATTGGTTTCTTGCAGAGAAGTCACTAAACCATCCAGCGTGTTTTTTTCAGGTCTTGATATTACGGAGCAGTCTAGGACTTCATCTTCTTTGTCTGTTTCTACTTTCATAATATTTTTGATAATAACTGATGAAAGAGAAAAATAGTACCAATTGGTCACTGACTGGATCTGAATTATATATAGGTAGCTATTCTGGATTCAACAATCTAAAGCTCAGCAATGGGACACCTCTGGTCCATGGGTCTAATTAGTCCCAATGGGGTCCTAATTTGACACATGAGGACATTTCCCCCAAACCACATTGATCTGTCCCACACTTGACTCATATATGACATCAGAGGTGGGGAAGGTAAAGACACGGCTGCAAAGGAACATTTGGGAGCCTCTAAGGTGCTCTCCTGATTATTGCTTGCCATATGAGGCTGGGATTATTGTTTTCAGGGCTGCCTGCATTAAGGAGTTCCTCATTGGTAACTCCATAATGCAGCTGGTCTTTGCCCAAAACAAGGGTTGCTGTAAGTGCTAAATCAGGCACCACCAACCTCTGGCCCTCCAGATGTTTTGCACTACAATTCCCATCATCCCTGACTGGTCCTGTTAGCTAGGGATCATGGGAGTTGTAGGCCAAAACATCTGGAGGGCTGTAGGTTGGGGATGCCTGCACTAAATGGAACTTATAGGAAGCTCCACAGGGAAAGCCTTCCTTAACCTACAGGGTTTGAAATGGGGAAATTGCGTCATCTAACACCATGATGACATAAAGTGATTGACGGCCACCAACTTGTCAGTGTGACCATGAGGGTTGGTGTGGCAGATCCAGTTCCTGACCTCTACTATAGCTTAAACAGTCACCCCAACTTCTCTTGTTATTAAACACAGTAACCCTAGTTTCACTGCCTTCGGAATGTAAGAGCTTCAGCAGAATTACAGTGTAAAGAACAAGCCAGAGAAGTGGACAAAACAGGCAGAAGGAAATTAGTGGAAAGCAATGTGTGATAAGATTTTTTCATTTGTTACAGTCTTTGTTATAAAAATGTAATTTTGGTATGGACTATATTCAAAAGTATTTTGATCTAATGAGAAAGTAGATGAAAAGGAATAACATTACCTTCAGCATTTTCTTCATCATCAAACAGTTCATCTGAATTCATATTCCGTACTCTACAATAATAGAGATAAAGAAATAAGTAAAAAGCCTATACAGCTTAGGAGAGACATGTTATGTGTACTGTAAAGCCATCTGCCCAAATCCAGCTTTTCTGGTTTATATTCAGAATGCACTCAAATAGTTTGCATACAAAAGCTGCCCCCATTTATATTGGTGTAAGGAACATTGCTGACTATTTATAAAATTTATATGGCTCCCTTCATCCTAGGGTCCTAAGGCAGTTTGCAACAATAAATAAATAAAGCAATAAATAATAAAAATTTAAATGTACAATATAGTAAACAGAAGATCTATCAATTTTGGCAAGCTAGTCTTTAAAAAAGCATAATGGGGAGAGAGGTTTAAATGTGATGTTGCATGCAGAGGTAGCTTCAGCTCTTGCTTCTTGATGAACAAGAGTCACCATTGCCAGCTATGGAATAAGGATTTGCACTGGGGTTTTTTTTAAGAATGCAGGGAACCATTATGGAACTTCATCAAAATCTGAATGAAGACAGAGGTTATAATGGAGTAGGGGATCATAGATCAGCAAAACAGATGTAGAACATGTTTACGTAGCACAAAATCATGACATAGATATTTGTAATATACATGGTACTGAACCCAGCAGAACCTCTCCATTTGAAGAAGGGGCTGGGATTCACGAGAGCTTCCATAAGCTAAAGTTGGGAGGGAGAGTGTAGAGAGGTGATTTACAACAATTCTCCCTTCTTCAGTAGATTCCCAAAATTACCTCACATGTGTGGTATCCCATAATTGAGAGATTTTGTTGGGGTAGAGGCATGGAGATCAGAGATCTGAAAGTACCCTTTCTGTGAGCACAACCCAACTCAGGCAACTCTGGATACAACCCATAGTATTTGCTCTGAGCTACTAATGATTTGTTTTAGAAACCAAAACATCGGTTGACTTAGACATAAGTATCAACCTTGCCATGCAAAACCAGTTATTTTTTTCTTTGAGCACCTAAGCCTGAAATCATTTTCCATTAAAAAAGTTGATTTCAGCATTTCACAGAACAATCTTATGCATTTGGAAGTAAGTCTCACTGTGTTCAAGAAGTCTTATGCTCAAGCCAGGTAGGTGTGTGTATAGGATTGAAACCCTAAAAATGATTGGTACAAAAAATGCTCATCTTAAGTTTTTAAGCTTTCAGGACCAATAAATACTAACACACTGAAAATTACTTTACAGTTAAGTATGAAATGAAGCTTTAATTATAATGGCAATAACTTGGCAAAGTTAGTAATTAAAGTAATTACTAATAATAATTATTCTTTATTAAGGCAATTTATGGCACACTTTTTAATTAAAAAATCAAATCAGAGTCATTAGATTGTTATTGGATTCTATGTTGGCTTCTAAAGTAGCTGTTCTCTTTGAAGAACACACCAAATGGGTTAACACCAACAGCAGAAACTAACAAAACATCAAATAGCTGCTGGAGACCATTTAATGCAAGTGGTTTAAATTCCAACTCATTTTGAGCAATTAGCTCTTCATTAGGGAAATGTCAGAAAAAGGACTAGCTCATACCTATTTCAATTATTTGTGTGACTAACTCTGAAAAGAGTCACTAGCCTTCTAACCCCAACACTGTAGGCTCCTTTTAGAGCTACTCATTGAAACTGCAACAGATGCAAGTACCCTGATGAAGAGGTAATTGCAAGAAACACATTAGGATTAATGTCACTTTGATTAATACACTTGTCTCCTGAATTGTTTCTCTTTCTCAAAAGGTAGATCTTGAAATAAAAAATGTCTGCTCAACAGCCAACTGGCAATATCAGATTTTCCCTGTGACATCATAAACGCCTAACTGTGAGGCCTTCTCCTATTCATAAACATGAAGAGATAGTGACAGCATCTGTGTTGTGTTTGAAGTACTGTATTGTGTTATCTCCACAGTAAGGACCAACAGGACATAACTGGCCATGTGGTACGCCTGAGGTGGTGTGGTGGTGGGAAGGTAGCAGCAAGGTCCATATTCTCCAATTCTGTATTATGCCACACTCCACCAGCCATGTTATACTATGCTCCCATGGCATTACTGGTTCCCACAGCATAGTCTCAGTGCCCAGTGGTCCAAAAACCTGATCTACACTTTTTCTGCCAACAGAAACAGAGACGTTTTTATTTTTCTATTCACAGAAGTAACCCAATGGGAATGTGTGATGTTCATGTGAGCTCATATCTATGGCCAGTTTCTTTCTCCCCCCCCCCCAAGTTGGCTTTTTTGTGTTCCGTCAGAACAGGCACAAGCGACAGTGAGATCCAGACTGTGGCCAGTCAACCCCATCCTGGATTCTTTTGTTATATTCTGATTTAAAGTGGGAGTGCAGGCGAAATATGAAAGTATGGTTTAGAACTGTGCTATATCCATGGTGCACTTGTGGCAGCTACTACCTACTTAGGTTACCCCACTCTTACAGTATTAGTGGGTGGCATAGAGAAGCTGCACCACTCACCTAGCCTCCCTCTGGCTAAGTCACTGCTGCATACCAGGATGGAGAGGGGCAGCAGCACAACAGCAGTGAGGTCATGCTGGTACAGATGTGTTGGCAGAACCATCTAGTGCTCCAGAATCTAGTGCTCCTGCTAACATGTTTTCACAACCTCACACCTATCTGTTCCAGAGTGAGGCCAGGCCAGCATCATAGCCCCACTGCGATTATAAAGTTCACTACTGTCTTATAAAGTTAGGTGGCTTTCAGCTTGATCCTATTCATGGCTGCTTAGAAGGTTGCCCCACTGAATTCAATGGATCTCACGCCCCACATTAAGTTGAAATTCCCTCCATAGGGCCGTCTTGTTTACACAGTAAAAGTATATGCAGTTGTCCATTAGTGTCTGGCCACTTAGAAGGACAAATTCTACTACAGCAAACAGACTGGTCCAAAGCTATTACTGAGATTTATTGAGAAATTCAATTCCTTGTTTTCTAACCTCCATATCACACTTAATAAATAGTGGCTGTAGTAGCAGATTTCTCAAGGTGGGGGTGTACTTATTTCTACATAGACAACCTTTACATATGTCCTCTTTTTTTTTAAACTGCAAGAACAATTCTGAGCTGGATATTTAAAGATCAACGAGATTATATACTGTATTTTCACCATTTAAATACACATTCAACCTGAGTACCATGCTAGGAAACTAGACAAAAATATTTGTAATCTATATTTTATTATCAGGATATATGAGACTCACAGTCAGTTTGGTGCCTCTACATCCAGTAAGAGTAATTGCACAAACCAACTTACCATTATAACCTAACTATGTGAGGTGTAGCCTTAAAATGGCCATGGATCCTTTCCTGACTTCTGGCTGCCAAAGACAATTGTCAGCACTGTCACATTGTTGCCTTACTGTAGGATTACAATGCAACAGTGACTACCCAAATTATTTGTAAGAGTTTAGCTACTTTACGGGAAAAGGTTTTTCTTTTTTTTATTATGCAGCAAAATAAGAGCCAATGTGATCTAGAAGATAGTAAAATACTGATATAGGAAAGCAATGAAGACACACCACTGCCATAAACTCATGTAGTTTTTGCAAATCACCATCTCCTAGCCTAGCTTTACATTATATATGGGAATTAGGTTGCCCTAACTTACAGGACAGTAGCATCTTTTGTTTTATAAATGATCACCAAGTACTAAGTACATGAGCTCAACATTGTAAGGTGTGTGTTAATTTGAATTTACGATATGGTTGTAACAACATCAAGACTGGCACCATCAGATAGTTGAAGGTGGGTGAGCCCAACAGGATTGACCAGGTACTATAGTGGCAACTAATATTCAACCAAATCCTCTCTGATGTGCTGCCCAGAAGATGAAAGCAAAAAGACAGAGATGGCAACTACTATTGCAAGCAGCAACCACTCCTACTTTGTTTCCCTGCATGTTCTCTTTCTCTGGATTGGTGATGTCCAATCTACACAGCAGTGCTCCAAAGAGCCCTGTCTCTACCTGTGACCACTGCTTGGCCAGCCTATAGCTGTAAGCCACTTCCTTGCGCACACTTTCTCTCTGGGCAGCATCACCCAAATACGGCCATTCCTTACTACGGCTCCACCCAGAGAGAACAAGTATGTGGCTGGCAAGCGGAGGTTGCTCCCAAGCAGGACAGGGCTGTTGCTGGGTGCTTTCCTCTCCAAACTCCAAAACGTTTCCCCCAAGAGCAGGATGAGTATCTTTCTTTTTTTTTGCAATAAGGACTTTGTATTTGGATGTTGCCTGTAGAACAGAAAGTGCCGCCTGGAGGAAGAGAACTACGAGCCCCTCCCTAACAACCCAGGGCAACAGGAGGAGGAAGGTGTTGCAGTCATGCAGAAGCCATGCCTGGAAACTGGCCAATAAGACCAGGATCGCACCAGGCGCGCGGGAACTCGCAACGCCCCCTCCCGGCTTTGAAACGCGCGAGGCAGCGCTCGCGAGTCGCGGGGTCACGTGGGCACCCCCTTCCCCAGATCGAATGGAATAAGGCGGCGGCGGCGGGGGGGTTCGGGGGAGAGGACGCTTCAATTATCACCCCCGCCTCCCTTTGCCTCGCCAGCCTTAGCACGGAGCGGAGCCCAAATGCCACTGAGGGAAGGGCCGGCAGCGGCGGGCGCTGGGAGGATAGGCCTCGCGGCTGGTCGCGAAAGCGGGTTCCGTTGCCGAGCAGGGAGCCAGGTTTCCAGGCAACAGGAGCCGGCGGTGCGTGTGCGCGCCTCGAGAAGAAGCTGGGGAAAGGGGAGAGCCGGCTGGCCAGGCTACCCGCTCACCGAAGCGCTTCTTGGGCCAGCCCTCTTTTTGGTAGCGTGCCCCGCGGCTCGCGACGGCAGCTTCCGGAATGCTTCCCACCCCCACCCCCCTGTCCCCGCACCCTCGCCGCCGCCGTCCTCGAGAGCTGGTCTATGTGGCAGCTGGAAACGGGGGGCACAATATAACATCCAGCTCCCCCCCTCCCCCGCCGGAGATGGAGGCGCCCGCGCCGCCTGGCCGTTCTCCCGCGCGAGGAACACAGCCATAGTTCTCCCCGAGGGGGAGGGGGCTGGGGAGGCTGAGGAAGGACCGTGTTCCTCCTGCCGAGGCCGAAAGTAGAACTGTGGGGAGGGAGTTGGCCAACACACGCACACACCTACCTTGGGGAGGGGGGTTGGGGGTAAGCTGGTTTCCCTATCTAGAGAAAGTTGGGAAGGGGCTTACCTGGGTCCTTCTTAGGCACTGTGGGGAAAAGAGGGTGAGGGCCCCCCTTGGTCTTGGGTGGGTGTTTTATAAGCGCGGCCGTGGCTGGCTCCCGTGTCTTCCCCTCCCACTTAGCTCTTTGTGTATGTGCGTGTGTGTCCGTGTGCGAGAGAGAGAGGGGGTCCGCGCGCTGCGCTCTCGCGTGACGTGACGGGACCGTGTGTCATTTCCGCACAAGGACACTGAGCCCCGAGGAGCTGCTGCTGCTGCTGCTGCGGCCACCCGGGACAGAGAATGTGCATGCGGGTGGGGGCGGGGAGGAAGAGGAGGTGGGGGAAGGCGGACTGATTAAGTCGGGGCACCACAGCTCGCGCGCGAGGCAGAGAAGGCGGCGGCCCTCTCCGTTCCACACGCGTATTACGCATACCCCTCCTCCCCCCCGCGCGCGCTTCTGAGCCCCGCCCCCTTTCCCCCGTGGCTGTGCCTGGTGGAAGGAGCCGTTAGTTGCAGTCGGGTCACTCTCGCGCTGCTCCTCTTTGCCCTCCAGCCTGCTAGTTTACACGCTAACGGCCACTTCACAAAAAGCAACGGTTAATAAAACACCCACATTGCCCTCGTGAGGTTTGCCGGGCGCTACCGAAGGTGGAATTTCCGGGCTGCGAGAGGCGGAGAGGCATCTGAATTAATTGTTCAATTTATTTGTTGTCTAATACAGGACCATTCTGAGCGACTTATATAGATAATAAACGTATATATTACACAGTATATGGCCCTCTAGTTGGTCATGGAACGAACCAGTGCAATGGCCCTGGAATTAACAGGCCCAGCACCTGCTGCTGCCGCCACTGCAAGATGTACATGTTGAACCGATGGGGAAAACTCACAGTGGTACCTCAGATTACATATGCTTCAGGTTACAGACTCCACTAACCCAGAAATAGTGCTTCAGGTTAAGAACTTTGCTTCAGGATGAGAACAGAAATTGTGCAGCGGTGGCTGCGGGAGGCCCCATTAGCTAAAGTGGTGCTTCAGGTTAAGAACAGTTTCAGGTTAAGTACGGACCTCCGGAACAAATTAAGTACTTAATCTGAGGTACCACTGTACTTAACTAGACAACTTGCAAAACAAAACAAAAACCCTCCATCGCAGTCACCTTTGACTTTGAAAGGTTCTCAAAAGTGATTGGAGAAATGCATATTGAGGGACAGAGAAGGTGAATTCTTTCTAGAATGCCTGGGGGCTGTCTTTGGGGTCTCAAATTTCAGCGGCACCCTGCCTCTCAACTTCCATTCTTTATCACAGTTGCAGTGCCCCCAAGTTTCCACTGTGACCTAACCAGTTGCGCTTCCCTACATCCGCTTCTGGGGCTGTTCAAAATCGCAATAATAGTATCTTGGTTAAAACATAGACCACAGATCAGGAATAGTATTGCTTAGGACTAAGGGGATGCCGGCATGCTTCACGAGCATTTTAACTAAGAGAAGATTCACTGAAATTAATGAAGTTAACTTAGTGATGTTCATTAATTTCAGGGGGTCTATTCCAAGTAACTTCGTTGAATATCGCCCAAGGTTTTCTTTCAAAAACAGACATATTATCCAAAAGTAAACAGAAGAAACACAATTTCTGACAAATACAAGCAGACAATAAGGCGTGGGGGTGGGGGAAAGAGAATTTGAGGAGCACATTGATAAAAACAAAAAACACCAGCACAATTATTATTTTTATATACATTAGAAGCAGACCAGCCCACTGGTTGTTTGGACATTTGTACAAGGAAGCCAGAGGTTTGGCGAATAAGTGAAAGGAGATTGTGGTGAAGCTGAATGTATTTGCGGTGAAACTGAATGTATCTATTTTCACAATAGAAGATGTAGGGCCGGTCCTTGTGCCTGAACTTACACAGGAAAGGAATCGGGGGACTTAAATGGTTTTAGAAGCAAATGTGCTATACTTTGAGCAAACTCTGCTACTAGTGTATCCATGGGTTTTGATAAAAGTGCAGAAAGTTATTCCTAGCACATTCACATTAGTTTGGACTAACATACGGAAGAAAAATCTGCTAACATCTCTCATATGCATGATGGCTTAATAGTCAAATTGGCTGAATATGACCAGGCAAACTGGTTTGCATATGTTTGGAAAACATTGAACAGCAAGCACTTTTATGATCACAACGTAAACTTGGGTAAGTCTTGATCTGATTTTGCCTTAAAATACTAATATCCCAATTGGCAGAAATTATTGGCAGAATTCCAACAGCTGTTGCAGTTTCTTTCACCCCTGTGTAACAAACTACCAGCAGGAACGCTGCCTTCCACATGAGCTATTCAAGGTAAAGGAATCCCACCTGCCTTTGCACCATTAATCATATATGTAATTAAAGCGTTACATGATTTGGTACTTAGTTCTGCAGTCTTATTTGCTTACCTGAAATGCTTTATATTATGTTTAGTAAAAACACATTTTTAAAGTAAAGAAAAGCAAAAGTGTGCAAACCACTCTGCTTCAGAAATGAGAAAACATTTGCCAATTTGAACTCCACCTCATTTCTTACTCTAGAGTGTTGGCCTCAGGCACTGTTCCCATTAGGGGACCCAAGCCCAGAAGGGACCCTGCAGGCCTCAGCTACCCATCCTGGAATGTGAGTATACTGTTCCTCTACCCATTCTGATTGAAAAGGAATAAAAAGCACTGCAATTTCAAATAGACTATGCATAGTAAGTTTTGCACACTTGTTCATATACAAAACAAAAACATTTGTGTGTGCATTGCAGTGTTTTCAGTTTCCATTTTGCCTTTGATTCAGAAGTTACTATTTTATGCTTTTAAGAAACACCTCCCACTTAATTGGGGGTGTCTGCTTTTCTTCTAGTTGTAATTAAAATTCACAGAGGGAAATGCAAGATTTATTATCTGGAACAAGCATTGGTCCCAAGGACCTTTAGAAGTAGCAGTTTATTTAATTTGAAAACCTGAGACTGATACCAATGCAATCAATAAAATGCAGTCTGCACAGATTTAATAATGTTACTGCAGTAAATACATGCAAAACTACCCCATAAGATTAATACTTATATTTCCATTTCCCCTTCATTTAATGTGGGATTGAGTAGCATATTCTTGCTAGGCTTATAGCCTGGAAATTGGTGCATAAATGTCAGAATGATTGTGATTTGGTACTGTGACAACAGATCATCTTTCACATACCCTCATTTGCCTCTATCATAAGAGGCTAGTCATTAGGTCAAGGTGGGGCTGAGCCCTACCAGTATTTTTTCTGCAGGCCAGAATCCAAAGCTGTAGCCCAGCAATCCTGCATCACCAGCAGGCAGATACCTAAATTTACTGTAATTCAGGAGTCTATTCTGTTAAATCTTTTCTGCCAGTCAATCACTGCTGTGGCCAACAAGTTCTACCCTTCACCTTTGTCTCCAGGAGTAAAAGAAAAAAAAAAAACTCCCCTGGTTTGTCAGATCCAAATACATCATCCTTTAAATCTCCCTACACATACCAGGATATTCTTATTTTATCCAGCCCCCTTTATTCTAGGTTCCTACAGCTGTAGCCTGTTCAGAGATCCAGTTAACCTGACCCTTATCCAGGACACTCCATTCTATTTCCTATTCCTGCTTTTTAATTCCCTAAAGGTTGTTGTTGTTTTTTTTTAAAATGTGGTGCTTCTGCAAATCTTGGTATTTCTGTAAGCCTGCTGATACTGCATGTAGATGGTGTTGTTTTGGCTACTAAAGTATTCACAGATAACTGAGTTCACAATTACTTCATATGAGATTATTGTGTTTCTCATCTATTCATGCCTGATGTGCAAGTGCAGGTTGGGCAGCTGATCTTACATAATCATATACTTGTTAATCCACCATTTCAGGCAGAGATGCCGAAACATCAGGCATAAACATTTAAGATTGGGATGCTAATGCAACAAGTTTAAACTGTATTCTGAAAGCGCTGGTGAACACAGCCTATATATTTCTGTCATCTATGAATAAACTGCTTTATTAGCTAAAACGTGGAGAGTAGATTTGCCAAGACAAAACCACATTTCGGTAACATCCTTTGTTTCAAGCACTTTGTTATGCTGCTGTTGATCATAATGATGCAAACAACGAAGTAATTGTACAAAATTATTGCCGCTGATTTACATATGAAATGCACACCTTCCACTGCTGCATGCCAGCATTGTTGAACTAGGTTATAAATAGTGGATGTGGATGTGTGTGTATGTGGGGAGAGAAAATGGTCTCTGATGAGCAAAAGCGAGGAATGAAGAGTTTTTCAAACCATGTTGAAGTTGGGAGATTTTTCACTGAAATCATAGTTGATTTTGCATTCATTTTGTAAAGGGAGAGCTGTACAGAAACTCCCACAAGTAATTTTCTCTGTTTCTCAAAATAAAAAACAACGGAATCCTGGAGCTAGGTGAAAAGTAGAGGTCATTCAGTTTATTGGGGTTTTAATTGTAGTGCGAAGGAGCCTGTTCTGTCAGCACAAGCATTTTTGCTTTCCTGAACAATCTCCCCTCTCCCCCCCAATGCTGTTCTGGGGGTTCCCCAGACCCTCCAGAACAGATTTGGGGAGCGCACTAGAGGAGAGGCAAAAAGTCCCAACTTGTGCTGGCTTCCGCTTGGTGGGTCAGAAGCAGCTACTGGGCCACAAACTTTAAGTGGTCACAACAGAAGGATTACAAACATACAAATATATTGTTTTAAAAAAGAAGTGCTCCTCAGAGAGAGAGAGAGAGAGAGAGAGAGAGAACAACTTGTATAAAAAAAGGTAATTCAGTAAGCCCAATATTGCAAATTTAAGTTAAAAGAGAATCCTGTGTTTAGAAAGGTTCCATTAAGTAAACCAGTAGTTTTCAAGCTTTCTGCCCAGAGAGAATCTCTTCTTGTCTACTTGCCTTCCAAGGACTGTCCTACATATTTGCCATGAAATCTCTGTGTATTTATTGCATTAACATTCTGTGTTCTCTTCTAGTGCACAGACACTCCTTGATCAGTTGCCAGGTCTTGTGCTACTGCAGGAACTGTGGGCATGTTTTAGGGTGCATTCAGTGTTCTCCTCCAGACATGCTTAGTAGTGCAGTATCACTAAAAAGTGAGTGGAATTCAGAAAGGTGTGTCCACTGAGGAACCACTAATACATTTTCTAGATACACCCTACAAAATTCCCTATAAAAGCGGTAAACACATGACCTATAACATGACCTTGTTTTTTAAAAAAACAATAGGTAGCTGGTAGCAAATGCAACTGACAAGCCAGTA